GCTCCAAATAATGCTGCAGCTTGGTTTTGCAGAGCACCAGCTTGAAGTTGCCCCATGGCAGTAATGTTAATCACAATGCCTGGAAAATCATTGTAGAAAAAAAATCTCCTTATTAAATCAAATGTTGTCATTCAGATGAGAACTGGAAATTACCTAACACACCCTCACCAGTCTCATATGTAACCACAACAATGTTTGGTATTTTTCTGGGTTTTTGTTTGCTTCACATCCGGCTTGTTGTGCCAAATGATGGCTATGAGAGAATGCATTAGCTGTGTTGTATAACCATATAAATGATACAACTTTTTAACATCTAGTTTGATGTATATTCAGAACACAACAGTGGCAAAAGCAACACAATAAGCCCACAAACTCTCAGAGTAAGATAACTACATGGTACAATGTTCCAAAAGTAGTGCAATAAAACCCATAAATCATAAATAAATAAACCTGGACTCTCAGGAGCACTAACAGGGATTAAGTAAAATATGTATAAAATAATCATGATCGCTAATCTGCAGTCACATGCCTTCCTATTACTGCTGGAGAGAAACCGAAAGTATTAAAGATTAAATAAATAAAGAATTTTAGGAGCATTGCCTGGTGTGTGCAGAGGGCAGGTTCAGTGTTTACTGTTCATTCAAACAGGTGAAAGGATAACCGATTGGCAGCAATCGGAGCAAAAAGAAGGGACTGGGATCTGCTGACAGAGAGAGAAGTGAGGGTGAGGCAGATGGGGGTGTGCATTGAGGAAAGCATTTGGTAGAATGACACAGCCTGGTGCAGCATGCAGAGCACCACAACAGTCATGCCAGCAAACAGGAAACTGTGAGTGGAAATTACAGAGTTTGACCAGTTTAAGGATTTGTAAGATCTTCCCACAGATTTTCACTGAAATAGAAAAGTAATGTGAGCTTCAGCTTTTCTTTTTTTTGTATCTCCAAAAGTTGATTCTGTTCATTTGGATGTAGAAAGTGACTTCTTCAGTAACCTGCAGTCAGCTGAGACTGAAGAAGTCACTTGGATGAGTGACGAAACATTTCTCCCACAAACGCTACGTCCAGATGAACAGAATCAACTTTTGGAGATTTACTTACCTGGATGGTTGAGCATGCATCAAGACATTCTTTTTTTGTAGTTTATATTGAAGCCTAATGTCTGGTTCAGG